CCTCACAACGCCACATCCCCCCTCCCGGGAGCACAGACGGAGTCAGACTCCTTCAGGGACAGCTGCCACCTCCTCTCTCTGCGTTTTGAGCATCCTCACACCCACCTTTGCTGCCCCACGCATGGGACGAGGGTCAGCAGCCGCCACATGAAGCCATTCCCAGCTCCACCAGGCGCAATACCCAACCCGGCAGCATCTTCACTTTAGAGAGGGCAGGGTCAGATATCACCATGGGCAAACCCTGGTTGCAAGATGCCATCCTCTACTTCTCCATCCTCTTGGTAGGAAAGAGTCCACTGAGGCTCCAAGCTGATTTAGCATCAAACACATTTATTTCACTTTTATTGAATACAAGAACAGTGAGCACACACGCATACACCACCGAGCACTGAAAAGGAGTATGACCGAAGAGGGGAGAGGAGAACAAGGGAAGAGAAAACGAGAGTTAGTGAAGGAACAACAGAGCGTTGCAGTTGGTTGGTAAGGTGCTTCTCAAATAAAAATAAATATTATTATTATTGTTATTACTGTTATTATTACTCATGCAATTGCAGGCCAAGTTTGGAATGAATTTGTGGGATCAGGTAAAAACAGGCACTCATGTCTCCCACCCCTTTCAACAGAAAGGCCCCTGGAGGAAAACAAGCAGTGATCAGCTATCTGAAATGGAGCAAGGCGATGGGCAGGCTGGGGAAGCCGAGCCCGCAGGGGCCTCAGTTGTCACTGAGCAGCAGAAACCCACACCTTGCCAGGCGAAAAAGCAGTGAGTTTTTTTCTTTCCTTTTCTTTATTTTTTTTTTTTTAATTTTTAAACTTTTAAACACTGCCACCCATTAAACACACTGCGGAAGCCAGGGACTGGATCTGCTCACTCCAAACATAACTCATCTCAATCCAAGCGCACATCAAGTCTAACTCTGTAAGGCCATTAATTTTAACAGTAACCTTCAATTTTATAACTGTACACAATGGCAAAAGCAAGTATCTTGTTTCACTGTAGCCTCTGGTGGGTTGTAAAGGTGCCAAAGCCAGGTGGGCTCCTCTGAGTATGGAACACGCAGTGTGTTGATGAACACCAGTGCCCAGTGCGGACCACAGGTCCTCCGCCACCCCGCCTCTCTCCAAGTGCCACTAATGATTACAGCTGGTTTGGGTGTATTGAAAAAATAAAAGAGAGAAAAGTAGCATCTTTGCAACTGCCTTAACTCTTTTTTTTTTTGGTCGGCGGTCTGCTCTCTAAAGGTAGCTGAAAGCGCTTGGATAGAAGCTGGGGAGACCCTCATGACCTGGCAGTACTGGCACCAGCCAGCAGCTCTATCTGCTTCCCAAGCAGCCTATGCTCATGCCTTTCACACTTGCAGGAGAAACCTCTCTGCCAGAAGGAGAACAGACTTCACGGGGACATACTAGCAAGCAACTGGTGAAGCGTGGCTGACAGAGCGCGGGCTCTCTCCTAGGACAGCAAAGGCTGTGCGTGGAATCTGCCCACAACATCCTCACAGCACAGGCTCTCCTGCTTGCTGTCATCCTCTGAGCCATTGCAAGGCCTGGAAAAACACACCTATTTCTGGGCACAGTCTGCGTGAAGGGTGGGAGACTCAAGGCAAAATGGTGCAGAATCGTGGGCCCTTCTGTTTCCACAGGAGCTAGAGATGATTCCAAGAAGGAAACCCATTTATTTCCTTTACGATTTTGGTTCCAAGTCTACCCTAACTGCCTGGTTCACAGTGTACGAGGCCCTGGGCTTGGCCCATGATCCCCTTCCAAAGGCAGCCGGAGAGGAAGCCAGTGGCTAAAGGCCAAACTGGGATGAGTTGGGGGAAGGCAGCTCCACTGACATCTCCTCACCACGCACCTTCTTATGCAGAGGGCTTGGGCTCTTTCATTCAGCCTGGGATGCTGGGGATGCTCTGCAGTGATGGAGACAGCAGGGTCTCTCCACTGCCCATCCCTAGGCAGGTTGGGGGAAGGACTGCCATCACCCTGCCACTGCTGTCACCAGCCCGCAGCACCTTGGGAAGCTCTTGCCATCGCACCCTAGGCAGGGCAGAAACAACCCCTCTGCTTCAAGCCCTGCTACAAAGCTCGAGTTACTTCATTACTGAGATCCAGAGACAAAGCAAAACTACCCAACAACCAGCACAGCTCAGTGGGCTGGAGGAGAGAGATGAATGCAGTCCTGTTGCTGCCACCTTGCTCCCAGCTGACCATGGCTCTGGGTGGGGGCCAGGGAGATGATCCTGCCTACAGCTGCTGAAGCCACAGCCTCCACCTCCTCCCCTGCCCCTCCAAAGTCATAACTGGCCCTCCAAATCCAACCACCATACACTGCAGATCAGCCGGCAGGACATCTCCCATCTCTTGCCCTCTCCGCTTCCCCCGCAAAACAGGAGCAGCTGAAACCTTCCCCCTTCTCTTCTTGCAGGACTGAGTCCCACATGTGATCTAAGAGTCTGAAAATACACCAACCACAGTCAATCAAAGAGTTAATAATTTAAAAAGGCTGTCATCATATTTACCAGCACTGTTGAATTATTTCATATTGTTCCCTCCCTCCCCCCTCGTTATATATAATAATATACATAACTTAAATGCACATCCATATGAAACCCCTACAGGCTGCTTTTTTTTATAAATGAGAAACCATATACATATAATTTGTTTTGTTTGAAATGAAATCCATTCTTAAATACTTTTGGAGGACAAGAGGTTGGACAAGTGCACAAAGAAGATAAGGAATGGAAGGGGAAGAGTTAACAGAACTGCAAAAGATGCAAAAGAACCAGCATGGAATGAGGAGAAGGGCAAAACCACACGTGTGAATCAGAAAATAACTCTAAGGTAATAAATTCACTGATTTTCTCTCTTCTTTCCAGAGGTGGGGAATGATTTTGCTTCTGCTTGTGTTTTTTTTTATTTCAGTTTGCTTACTTCTTGCTTTGTTGCAAAGCAGTTTTCCTTTTCATTCAGTGTGCAACAAATTAACTCATGATTATGTATCCTTTAATGTAACATGCAAGATGGTGGCTTATTGTATTGTTAACAATATTATTGTTGTTATTATGATTTTTTAAATCTTATTTTATCACCAATCCAGTAAATTCTTCAATTTATCTGCAAAGAGGGTTGGCTTTGTTTGTTGGTGGTGTTGTTTGCTATTCATTTCCAGCATAGAGCAGCAGTGCAAAGGATGCATTTTGTTTCCTGTTTATATATATATATATATATGTATGTATGTATATATATATATAATATATTTGCTATTCCTTTTTTAAAAATTTTTGTCTCTCGCCATGAACATTGCAGCCAGGATGTCTATGTCTTACTGACAAATCCAGCATGAAGGCTCCTTCTCCACTGTTCTCCAGGTTTGAATACAGATGCCGACTTCCAGGAACATGTTGGTCAAGATTCCTGTATGAGGGGCAGATGGAAATGACCAGTCATGGGGTGCTGATTTCTTTGACTATAAAAGGGCTCCTCTTTGTATGAGGGCACTGGACAGTAAATTTGCAAACACTTGGGGCCACAGTTTGCACTTAATTACCAGGACCTCTGGTAATTAGCAGGAACTCTTAATTGACTGGGCTGTGTTGGTATGGGGGAGGTAACAGTGAGTCACTGCTCCCTTACTTTAAGCCATTCAATTAAAATCGGGTGGCTCCCTAAGTGATTCAGGAGTTTGGGGTTGCTTGTTTGTGCTGTGCCGTAGGAGGTACGATTAGGCAGATACAAGAGCTTCTTCTGCCCTTCCAAGCTGCAATGGAGCTGGTCACTTTTCCAAGCTTAAAAGTTGCCAATCAAAATCTTCATATGATAAAGAAACACCAAATCACATTTCCAAAGAGGCCTCTCGAAACACACCTGCAGCCTGGCTGGTGACAGAGCTCCTCAGACATTTTTCAGCAGTGAAGCTGCTTTCAGATGCTCCTCCTCTCCACCACACTCCTCTGCCCTTCAGCTCCTCCAGCACAGAGGTCTGTTGGGCTGTGCCACCACCAAAGAGCTGCAGCAGCCTGGCTGATGGGGGAGCAGCGGGGTCAGAGTAGGAGGTTTGGAGTGGGGCAGGACTCTTCAAGCCAGCTTTGCCCTGAAGAAAAACATTTGGGGCTATGACTGCTTTGGGGCACCTGTGGTGAGGTGCAAACCTTGAGTACTGCTGTGTATAAAAAGACAACCTGGGGATCTGATGGGACTAAAGAAACCTCTTTATTTGCAAACACTGCTCTGATCTTTGGACTGGCTTTGCAGAACCTGCAGCCAAGTTTCTCAGCCCATCCACAAAACCGGTATCACTTCTTTCCCTCCCCACCCCAGGGAGACAAGCAGGCCTTTTCTTCTTTCCATGCAAAGGACTCTGACCCCTCTGCTGAACAGGACAGCAAGGTGACACCTGGGGAATTGCTTTTGGTGGCATGGCACTGGCTTTCTAACCGGTGGGACCATGGCCAGAGCCACCATCACACTGTAACTGCTGGCCAAGAGCTGCCACCCTTAGTGCCAAGGAGCAGCAACGCTCACCAGACCTGCAGCTGGTGGGAATCAGAAGCACTTGCCCCATTACATCCACCCCTTATGCAGCAGTTATAAATCATACCTGGTAACTTCTCCACCTACCTGAGGTTTCTTGTCCCTTTCCTCTGGAGAAGGTTCTGTTTCTCTGTATACCACAGCTTTGGTTACCAGCATATCAGGATGCTGTAGTTTTGCCTCTTTGATTGCTAAAGCCAGTGCCTAGAAACCAGAAGGATGAAAACACTTATCATCACTTCCCTGAAATCTGGTACATTGCTCTCAGCCAGACAGAACCAGCGGACAGAAAGCAGCTGGAGCTGAGTGGGATTCCAGGAGGACACAGATGCAGAGGCTCAAAGCTGAACCCACAGTAGCCTAGCAGAAGAGGCTGGAGCCCACCCTGATGGGGGATTCCTACACCACTGGGATGCCTCATGCACTGCCTTTCTCTTGTTTTTTTCTGTAGAGATGTGCTATGTCCCAGGCTCCCTACTGAAACCCAAGCAAAGGAACGGCAGCACTTCCCTATGCAGCAAAACCCTAGAAAAATCCACAATAATAATGTAATTAGATTTATTATTATAATTCTAAAAATATCTAAAAATTATTTTAGAGCCTTTTAAATACTTTAGCTCTTTTTCTTTTTAAGCAACAAATCACAAAGGGTTAGGCCACAGGAAAATGACCCTGTGGCCCTAGAGATTTGTGTCAATCTATCTGTGTTATTTCATCATGGAATTTTGTCACTTTTTGTTCCTCTATCACAAAGGCAGATGCAGAACACCATCACTTGGAGTGAGTCAGACCGTAGTGAGACTGTGCAGGGAAGAGGGAAGAACCTGGGTCCCTTTGGTGGAGTATTTCAACAGAGAATGGGCAGCTGGAAATGTGTTTTAAGAAAATAAAAAGGTGATTCCCTCACGGGGCTCTGTACTGGGATGCAACTTTTACCGCTGCTTCACTGCTGCTGTGGGCACTGATGGGAGTTTGGCTGGGACTTCACTTGAGTGTCACTACACCCCATGGGGATCTGTACTGCTGGACAGAGCTGGTGGATTTGAGGCCTCATGGGTCAGTGTTTGGAAAGAAGGTGTAAACAGGTATGAGCCAGAACTAGAAGCATGTGGTGCTGCAACTGGGGCAGCCAGAGCCAGGCAAAGCCAGAGCATCCTGCTCCTACCTGGTCCTGGTCCACGTCTTCGTCTCCTGTGATAATGATGCGCTTCTCTATCCGGGTCTCTGAAAACCCTCCTTTCACAGTCTGCACAACAAGAAGGAAAGCACTCACCCACAGCCGTCCCACAAGCAACCTCCCGGTGGTTGTAGCTCTGCCCATGGCAGGAGGGACAACACCAGCTTCACTTTATGAACTCCCTCGGTAATTTAGCGTATCTCTCACTACCCTCAACAGGGTGCATGGTTAGAACTGGCAAGACACAGCTGGCCGCAGGTGGTGAGGAAAAAAGGGCAGGGTGCCAGGTACTGAGCACACCTCCTTCCTACTCAGGTCCCTCACTGAGCTGCTGCTTTAATTTATGTGCACTTAATTTGGGAATGAAATGGCCATCGGTGAGGTACTCTGATGCAGCCTCGTCTCCTTCATTTCCAAACATCACTCCTCCTTGCCTGTGCCACTTCAGCTCTAATAAACCCAATACACCCCACGTAAACCCAGCTGCCATTGCTGGCACAAGGTGTGCTGGCTTGCCATCCCCCAAAGGACAGCAGATACTTTGGAGGGGTATTTTCTGCAGTACCAACCACAATATAAATCCACCCATCCTCAAATTCCAGTGGCTTGCATCAGGAACCCCCTGGCTGCCTGCTTTGGAGCTGCTCTTACCTTGGTAACGTGGGTAGTGGTGGAAGTGGAGAGGGTTTCTGCAGTGGCACTGAATATGCTGGTAAGCATTTCCTTCCCAACGGAGCCACTGGTGATCTGCAGGACAGAGAGCAGCGGCATGAGTGGGGCCACCACAGGGGAGCCCCCCAGTGCTGCCTCTCCAAGAGCTGGGACCTTCCCACATGCTCTTGACCTGCTCAGCCAAGCATGGGATAGGCAACAGTGACAAGGGAACAAGACAACACACCTAGATTTTTTGGGGGGCTGGAAGGACGTTTCCACAGCTACCCCAAGCCAAGAGCTACAGGAAAGGGCCTCTGCAGCGGGAAGATGATTTCATGGCTGCATTTTGCTGCTCTTCCCCATTCATCCCTAGGGCCACCCCAAGTGCAGAACTCTCAGGCCACCTCTAGCTTTGACCATCCCACTTGGCATGGTGAGGGCTGGGACAGCTACGCTGGTGCCCCAGCCACACAGTGCTGGGTATGTTCTCCCTGCTGCAAAAAGCGACAAGCCCGGGGCAGCACGTGGCATTTGGCCACGCTTGACTCCATCAAAACAAGGCAATTGAGTAGGAAAACGCTCTACACAGGAAGGCCTGCTGCTGAGCAGGGCTGTTGATGGCCATCCCCTCCACTGGGAGCCAGGAGACCATGAGTGTGGCCTTGGGTGGCCAGACAAGACACCCAGGGCTAAAGAGATCTCAGCCTGCTATGAG